CGTAACGTAAAGCTGAACGGAAAGAATACAAATCTTTAGTACCGTGAAAAATTTGGTTTTTCGAAAAATCTCTTTGAATTATGCCCCCTTCGTGCTCTTAAATCGCTACTCCTACACTATCCCCCTCTCTTTCCATCTCTATGAAAAGCCACAATTTCTCGGTTCTATAGAATAAATATAATACCATTAAACACCATTAGAGCACACTGATATTTCACAATTTTCAAAAAATGATCACCCTTTAATAAACAAATGAAATAAAAAATTTCAAATATACAATGAATCTTCTCCAACACGCATAATTCTGTATTAAAAACTTCCATCATGACTTATACAACAGAGATTTTCGTTTTTTGGAACAGCACCATATACGATTCTTCGAAAGAAACATCCGGATTATCATTTTAGCAATGTTCAATGAAATATAACGAAGCGACGTGATTAATTATAATAATTTGAAGACGAATATACCAAAATTAACATTCGTAAATGGCAAACCCTATATAAATATCTTGTTTCAAACATTCCATCACACACACGCAAGATTTTATTCGGAAGCTAATAACAGGAAATAAAAGCTAATAGAAATATAATCTTATAATAAGTTAATTCAAAGATAAACGATATCTAAATCCGGCAGATGTATCAACGAATTATACGATCATTTTATTAATTATTTTTTACACATATTAAATATGAGTGAAAAAAGGGAAAGAAAAAATTGACGTTTAAACATTTAGGAGCAACAGAGTATTTTGGAGCAACCTGTACAACACGTTTCAGTGTCGCATGCATCTGCAAACAACTGTCTTGCGTACTGAATTCAATTACCGATGACACGCGTACTCGCCGAGAAGACGCTGATGACAATATCGGACAAACACACGTCTGGATAGATCGGTGACGACTATACTAATGAATACGCGAACGACAATCCGTACACTCCATTTCCATACACGAACTGCATGGAAAGTAGCTAGACACCAACGAAGGTTCGCGAATTTCGATTCGTTAGCGATCAAAGGGTGGGAGGAACCATTTCGATTTCCTCGAGGACCAAAACGAAATTACCGAATCGTCGAACGAAAATCGATCGGGCAGTAATTAAACGCTTGTAGACACGAAAGTAATTATCTCGAGGAATAACGATTTTGTACCTTGACGGAAAAACGCGAAGCATGTATGATCCAGATCGAATCGTGAGATGGATCGGATTCGTGGCCTGATTCGAAAAATACATACAGGGAAAAATAGACAGAGAAACACATTAACGAATAAATTAATGAAATTGGACTTCCTGTAAGCGTGATTTTTATCCCGAGTGCAATGATGCGGTTGCCATATTTGCATAGCTTCTTCATAGAAGCGCCATCTCTTAATCGATACATTGATCATTGCTACTCCGGGCGATGAATAATTTAGCAGTATGTTAAATTTTGTGAGAAATATTCTTTGATACGCTCGCTACGGATACCTTGTTACATTACGATTTAAATATCTTTTGTAAGGATACCTCGCGATTTTATTATTTGGTTGAACTGCTTGATATTTACATTTGAATGCGATTTATATCGTTACTCGAAGACTGAAATGAAAAAGCAACAGGAATATATTCCGTTTTATAGGGGGAAAAATTAAACGAAGAACCTAGACAAAGATTTATGGTTGTTTAGCTCCTTCTTTGTTAAACTTGTGCTTTCATAAGCAAAATCGCGGAAACGTGATATGCGATTGAAGACACGTGCGATTAAGGAAATTTAAAACCGATTACATTTTCATCGTGCGATCTAACGTATTTAATGAAGAATATAAAGAGAAGTAAATGTTCGTAAAATATTCGTTATTGACATTCGTTAAATTATTTGAATAATTTCCTTTGTCGAATCTATCAGCTTCTAACAAGCTTGGAAAAATTTTGATATCACGGTGTGTATATACCTTGCTCTTTTTCTGCGTTCCTAACCTCGCTATTGCGCCAGAAATGATCTATCGTTATATTAATTTAATTATTGAAAAAATAATCGTTAACGAAGATTTTTTAATATAAAGGTGAATCGCTGATAATTTTTAAAACCGACCATTGAAAATGTCGATCAAATGCTAACACTGACGTTAAACAATTTTAGATATCATATTGACACTATTGTTCGCCTTACGAAATAAAGATTAACGAAAGAAAAGCAGAATTTCGTAAATACCGCGAATCGTAATAACACTTTTAAAATTAACAAGAGCAAGCTGTTTGCAATATTTCTCCATAAATTTCTTACGCACCTTATAAAATATTGTCGTTTTCGGCCATCTTGATAACCCACGAACTACTTTACGAGCGGCAAATTACGCAACTTCTTCGCCGATAATGCCCATACTTTTATTACGCAGTCGATATTATTGAAAACTCCCGAAACACGATTCGTTCGCAACTTTTCAACGTAAACTCGTGGTATAATCATCGGAGGATACTTTTTAGACGATAATTTTGCGAAACGAGTATCGACTGGACAAGATATAACCGTTTCGCGACTCGCGAAATACGCGTCTTCTACTAGCGACAGTAACCACATTGCCCATTATTCCGCCGATAATAAAGTGCTCTTAATACCGACGCTGCGAGCACAAGGTCGCAGCCAATCACGTCCGTAAACATACTCCAATTTGAAATCTAACGGAAAACGAGAGACAAAGCCCGCGGGCGACGCGGTCGTGTGTTTGTATACATGTGTATACCAATGCCACGACACCGTTGACAGGTTGAAACTTGTTCGATCAGGAAAGAGATGGCGTTTTTTGTCACTGCTGTGGCGAGCTCTCGAGAAGACGAGGTCGCACGCGAAGGGTGACGCGAGAATGGGGAGGGGGTAAAAAAAGAATTCAAAGGAAGGATGGCGAAAATGGTAGGTTGCCTGTTTCTAGCTATTTCCGCGAACGATGCACGAAACCGTAATTAGTTTCGAGTGAGAAAAGAGCATTAATCGTGACTAAAAGGTTTTTCGAGCCCGCATGATTAGAACGCGACGCGATATTTCTTTGGCGATGCTTCGCGCATACGATACTCGGTCCCGTACACACACACGCACGAGCGCGCGCGTGCTCGCACGCCGCGATGATTTTTCGCACGCCACTCGCTTTGGCCCGAATTACACAGACGCGCGTGGCTAAGCGAAACGCCAACGCCAGTCGTTGCTGCTTTCACAGCCTTTTTTTTCCCTATACAGCAACGCGTGCACCATTCCGTATGCGAATCACGGTCAGCCTGTATTTTCGACGAAAGTGAAAGAATCGAGATCAACGACCCCCGGACAGGGAGAAATCACGAAAGAATATCGACAGTTAAAATGCTTTACAGGTTACGTTCGCTTTTCGCGTACGACTGAACGAGGAAACACGAGCAGCTTGATCGAGGAACAACACGGAGAAGTTTCACGAAGAGAAAGTCGCTGGTACACGAGGCTGTCAGCTGACAGAAACAAAGGCTACGGAAAAGAAGCGTGCAATCGTTCGTTACGGAGAACGGACCGATTGGCGAAAGCGTAATGGAGATACGTCGATGAAAAAGTGACAGGAGGTTAGTCGAGAATAACGCAATCGTGTACGGATTCCGCGAATGAGCGCGGGCATCTTTTTTCCCCGTAACCGAATAAGAAATACACTTGCCTGTTCAAGTAGCACGCGATATTACAGGTTCCCACGACGCACGGTGAAATTCCAGCGATGTTGCAGTGTACGGCACAAATGTCACCGACTTTGGCACACGAAACATACACGGAACGGCTATGTTTTGGCAGTGGTTCGCGGCATGTTCTTCCGGCACGAGGTCTACGATGAGGTTAAACGGACATTGACATGTGCGCGATAGGAAAACAAAACGGCACCCACGCACTATTCGGAGCAAATTGTCAGAAGAACAAGACCGAACTTTCGAACCGAACTACCGATCGTTCCGACCACTACAGGCCAAGTGTAGCACCGCACTGACTGCTCTCGCCGTTCACCAAGGCGATAAACAAACTCGTCGCCTCTCCCTCGCGAGTCTACTCTCCTTCTCGTTACCTCTTATCCTTCTTCCACTAATCGCTTGCTATCCCGCTTCCACGGACAAACGCCGACTGCCGTGTACCACTGAACGAAATTTCGGTCTTTCTCGCACCGCGGCGTTAGCAATATGGTACGATCTCACTCTCATTGCCTGCTCTCGCTCACTCTCGTATTCCACGTCTTTGTTACTTTCCCTCTCTCTTTCCCAGTACGCCAAGGCACAGTGCTGCCACCACGTTTCGCCCCCACTATCGCATCGTATCGCACCTTGTCACCTGGCGTTCATAATTTTCTGATATTTTACGAATACACCATTGAAACTGAACGATACCCGATGATTAATAACGTTTGTACTTCTAACGGAACCGAATGTCACACGCGAGAAGGCTAACCGAGATACGTTTAAGCTTGTTCCATGATGCGACAACGCAATGTACGACATGTTTTGAGCCACTGACGTTCTATACTAGTTTGCAAACTGTATCGATGTTACTGGTGCCACCTACTGCGATCAATTGCAACACGATTTCTTTTATATGGAAGGAGATTTCTTATTTTTACAACCAAAAAGGTTTAAATTCGTTAAACGAGTCAAATACGATACCATAAAACGAATTCAACTACTAATACTAGAGCAAAGTCAGATTTTCTACTTTACCTATTGTAGGTAATATTATATACTTATATACTATAATTGTAATTTCTTAGCTAAAAGTTTATCGGTATTCGCTGAAACTATTTTTTAATCCTATAGGTGTTCTTTGTAAATTTAACTTTAAACGCTATGTAAAAATTTCATCTTTTGTACTCTAATTTTCATCGGTTGCCGTCCGTCGGTAAGTCAGGTTTCCAAAGGTAAACTTGATACAATTCGTAGATGTCTCTAGTGTCACTTTAGATTATTCGAGATTAATTCTCTAGTCGGCCGTAGCTGTTGATAACTTTTGCGGCGGTAGTGTCTTTCGGCCATTTTGGTGTTTGTCTTTTCCGGAATAGTATCCATCATGGTGCGTATCTGTTAATAAAATCTAGTAAAAAATCTAAAAAAGCAATAGCAATCCGTCATTAAATACATAAACGAATAATCTAACCACGTATTGTCAATTATTTTAAAGAAGAAAGTTAAAATATCGATGATTTATACGTGTTTTAATACACAATTATTTCTAGTTGCAAAGATTGAGGTTATACGAAAGTGTTGGGGTGTTATACGAACGTTTGGAATATTTTCTTTTTACACTTGCAAATAGGACGAGTAGAAAATGTATTACGGAAAGAATTCGAGATAATAAGAATCTAAATATGATTTCAGAGTCGTGTCAGGACAAAGACGGTCAAAAAGGCCGCAAAGCTCATCATCGAGAAGTACTATACTCGATTGACCATGGATTTCCATACAAATAAAAGGATATGCGAAGAAATTGCTATTATCCCCAGTAAATCTTTGAGGAACAAAATTGCTGGGTATGTATTTACAGGAAAAAGTATTAGTTGTGAGAAGATTCTAATATCTTGTAACATCAAACTCAATGAACGAATATGTAATTTCTTTATTCCATTTTTGAAACAGATTTGTTACGCATTTGATGAAACGTCTTAGACACAGTCAAGTGCGTGGTATTTCCATCAAGTTACAAGAAGAAGAGAGGGAACGCAGAGACAACTATGTTCCTGAAGTGTCTGCTTTGGAACACGATATTATTGAAGTAGATCCAGAAACCAAGGAAATGTTACAGATGCTTGGATTCAGTAACATTCCAGGACTGCAGCTTACACAATCTCAACTACAACCATACAACAGGCGTTCTTAAAATTTATTTCTTTATATTAAATAAGACTGTTAGTATTGCATTTTTCAATAAAACTGCAAGCTAACATTCTAGAAAACTTATCTTTTCAAACTAATTCTTTCACATATAATGTGTACCATTCTTCGATATATACATAACGTACATATCGACTTTTCCATGGTAAGTAGTAGATTAATGCAAAATAAAATTACTATCGACGACTTATAATTTTACGCGTGAAGATCGATACGGTTCGTTATCCATAGTTCGATAGAATTAATTTCTACCTGTATTTATTAAAAAATATATATAAATATTTTCCAAAATTACATTGAGAATGCATAAGCGAGCTTCACAAGTGTCTAACGAAAAGTTTGAAGAAGGAACACGCATGCGCAAAAGTCGGCCATTTTAATCGAACTTTGTTCTCTACTATTACTTCCTAATATTCTTTTATTAAAATTAATATTTTTTTACTCCTATGTTGCAAATTTTTCATTTAAAAGCGTGAAAAAGTATTGACCTTGGATATATATTTTTCCATATTATTTCTATATAAGAAAGTAAATATTTCGATTGAAAAGCACGAGAAATCGATAAAATTTTTCATTAAATATGCCGTTAATAATGTTAACTCTGCATCGAAAAGAACGAGACTAACGAAAAGCTATATCGTCATAGAAGAAACTGTACGTTATCGATTTCTCGCTGCAATTATAATTATATACGAATGTTACGTACGGCGTATTCGAAATACGTATATACCTTGAATGGTATCAACCATTTTCTCTTCCCTTTCTACGAATCAATCCTGCGATTTCGCATTGCAAACGTAAAGACATGGCAATCCTATCTGCGATATCATATTTATCAGCTATAGCATTTACCTGTGGCTCGAGTTGCGAAAAACCAGAGTACCGTATCGAATCGAGTTTACTACGTAAAATATTTTGCAAGAGATAACGTTCAATAAGTCTGCGACTGCATTGTGGTGAAATGCGTCGCCCTTCCAAGGCGCCCACGCGCTTGGGCCGGACCTGGATAAGTTGTTCAGAGGCTGCGCGACCTAGCACGATCCAAGGCTAGGTAGCCTAGCACAACCTGGTAGACGGAACAAAGTCGAAGAGAAAGAGTAAGAGAAACGGAGAGAGTGGCTGTAATCACACACGCCTGCGAATGTCGGAACTCTCGGGAGCAGGGAGGAGAGACCGTACAACCGGCGAGTCAGTCGACTATTAGTGGTCTGTGACTCTGGAGGTAGCCCGACCACCGCAGAACCGAGCCCGACGCAGCTCGGTTGCGTTCGGTCGGTAGTCGGGGCCAGTCGGGCGCTCCACTGCTCTTTTCGGTCTGGTCGTTTTCCTCAGTCCGTCGTCGTTGCGCATCGAGAACAGTTGCATCCTTTCTTTTTCGTTAAAGACAACGAATAGTACCCATCTTTTTCCGCGCTATGTGACGGATATTACGGGGCACCGAGCGTACCCCGCCTTCTCTCTGTATATCATTCCCACCCTTTCCTTCTGCCTGCCACTACTCTCCTTTTCCCAGAGAGAGAGAGAGAGAGAGAGAGAAAGAGCACGTTGTAAACGCAGGCACGTACGTACGCAGGCACTCGCCGCCGACGAAGGGGCCACGAGGGCCCCGTGGAATCGTGCCTAGGAAAACATGGAGTGTCCACATCTTGCTCAAAGCGTCCAATTCGGCGGTAACGACGTAGAAGCGAACTGTGCGAAGGATCTACCATTCGTCTGTGCAGGTAGGACCTTATACAAAAACCCGTACCTTTGTCCTTTTAACGGTTCAAAAGAGGTTGCTGTACGTAGAAAATCGAACCTGGCCCTCTTTCTCTCTGTTCCTCCACCGATCCTTTCTTCCTCCTCGAGTTTCCATTATATTTTGCACGTCGTTCTCGCTCCACTCGATCTCGATCTTTCCTTCGCTTCTATTGTCTTCCATCTCCTTTCCTCTCTTTTCTTTTGCCTTCTTTATCCGTTCTCTGTCTCCCTCTTTTTCTCTCTCCCCCGTTCCTCTCCTTGCTCTTTCTCTCTTTACCTCTCGTGACCGAGGCCCCGGCCGTTCCTCTCGCGGCCTTGAGCCGTCGTAGCCGACAAGATGAAGCGAACCATTTCTATTTCCCTTTAAAGAAACTAATGCATGTTTTCGAAAAGAACGGCAACGTACGCGTTACGTTCGCTTCGTGTTTCACAGTCGATACACACGGGTGTATCGATGATACTTAGCTGTACGCACGACTCTACGTACCATTCGTATGTATCGCGGATCGAACTCGTCGTGCGAATATGTACGTCGCTCTTCGATATATACGCGAAACAGCGGTAGATACGCGTACGTGTGAGTACGTATGAATGCGAGCAAGCTTGCACGCGCGTGTGCGCGTGTACGTGAAAGTCCACTCCTCTTCATGCATGCGCGTATGTGCGATATCGCCGGTGTGTATGTGCGCGCGCGCGTGCCTGCGGCTGTGTGTGTCCTCCGTTCATGGGTGTCTCTCTACGGCCGAACAAGAGCAGGACGTGCGCGTGTGCATCGTCCTGTTGGGAGTTCTCAGTATGCGGCGCGGTCGTCATTGGAAAATCAATACCAGACGGCACTAATCAGCTGGCCTGAGATCTGTCATTAGAACTCGCCAGATAAACGTGTTCATCGTTCCACCAGGGTATTCCCGTCTTTCCTTTTTCTTTAATTTCATCTGTTTCCGCTTGACGACTCGCTTCCAGATTTCTCGCCAATCATTGATCCAGCGACACATTTGAAAAATCAATGAAGGGAACACGGTTAGTCTCGTAAATGCTTTCTTCTCCTTCGCGATCTGCTTGCTATATTCTTTCGCTTTATCGTTTCTCTCAACTCTCTCAGCGTCTTTCGCTAACAGAGATAACTATATTTATCCCGAAATTCGCCATACTTTTATTGCATCCATTTCGATCTCTCTTTTCCTACGAATCCTCCTCCCTCTCGGTCAGCAGTAGTCCTTGCGAACCTATAGACGGAAAATTTCATAACAGAGCCTCGCGATTCGCCCTGTTCGATAATCGATGCTGCGCCACGCCGCCTTTTTCCTTTTAGCGACCTCTTACGGTAGAACAGCCAGGAAGAAGCGTTCTACAATCAGCACAATCTCGAATGAGTTTCTTCCAACCTGGAGACCGATGTCGTTTGATCGTAACGAATTCCTCCGAGAAAAAGTCGCTCGTTGATCGAGCAGCAAACGCGAAATCTGTTATCCGCTTTGATACCTCAGCCGTGCGTGGGGTCCTTCGAAATGAAGAAAAGAAAAATCTGTCGCGTTTCGCGAAGCATGTCCATCTCTCGTCCATCGTCTGGACAAGGGAACGACAAAGACAGAGCGAGGGGAAGTGCACGCGAGTGGAAAGGAAAGGGAAGAATAGTGGAACGAGACAAATAGTCAAGAAGGAGAGAGCATTTCAGAGGTGTACTAGCTTGACCGATGAGTCACAGACCAGGGATTTTTTCGCAGACTTTCGATTGCTCAATTGTAGCTGGCGTTGGTACTCGGTTTCCTGAAATCCTGGGGAGACAACGGCATCGACGACGACCGATGACGATGATCCACGTACGCGGGTTCGAACGGTTCCGCTGACGGGTTTCGTGGTCGCGGTCGTCGTCAGCAGTCGTCGTGTTCTCCCGAGAGATCGTTCACGCTCGACGAATCGCAACGTATCCAGGTTGCAAGATCAATTTAAATATCCCCGTGGTCTCGCGAGCAGAGTGACGCTGGTAAAAATTACCAAGCCTGACTCTCGCACGAGTCACGCAGGAGAAAAATCGTCCCTCGTGGGCTATAAAAGAACCCCATGTTCCACACCTCTCCTCTCCCCCTCTCTGCCCCTCTTCTGCCTCTTTTCCTGCGCTGCAAGCTGGTTCGGGTACGACGTTGCAAAATCGATAACGGCGTCGTTGCTAATCGGATGCCTCGATACGAGTCGCATTGCTCGGGAAACGAATTTTTCCGTCGTTCTGCTCTTTCCCTTGCACCAACATGGAGTCCGCCGTGCGCGTTGTCGCCTTTCTTTATCTAGTTCTGTCGCTTGGACAATGCGTCAACGAAATTCTTCGACGAGGCAACACGCAGTAGGCGTGGCGAATCGAATCGTTCGTTACCAAGGCGAAAAAGAGACGGAATAATGAGAAAGGAGAGATAGTCGAGTAAAGGGACAGAAGGATGGACGCGTGCTCGTTAGATGCTTGTCAGTTATCCTTTTTTTTTTCCTTTTTTTCCATGTATATACGCGTATTTACGTTTCACGCGGCATGCCAATGGGCCAGGCACCGTCAACGGTCAGTCTCGTTCCGAGAGATTGGAAATTTTCAGGTTTCGTCGTACCTGTGCACGTGCCTATCGACGATTATCGTTCGATTTCGAACTTGGCTGCACTGACGTGATCTTCCAAGAATACGCACCATGATGCACACAGTGTATTTGTACGTTAAATTGAGAATTATCGCTGACTTTCCGTATATTGCTCTTGCCTCCGATCGAACGTTGCTCGATCGTTTTCCAACGTTATCTTTCTTCGTGTATGATGAAATCGCTGATGATGATCACGGTAATCTGGTAAACTTTACGACGGTGCTTACGATACGTTACTCCAGTTTGAAGGTAGAGGCGAAATAACATGGCAATAACTCGGATTTTTCTTTAATATGCCTTGGCAAAATATATTTTAGCCAGCCTGGGAATTGTATTATACGTGGTATTAAGTTTCAAATTATCGTTTGCTCGTTTTAATTTCCATGTAAGACCGTGTTCCCGTCTTCGAATTCGATGCACAGAAATGTTTGTTATATTTTGTCAACGATTGCTTTGAAATGTATAGACTTAGCGAAGTTAGGTTATGTAACTCGGAACGATATTCTTCCACTTCTTTGTTACAACGTAGAACCGTATTGTACGTATAATTAAAACCGTTCGTGCATTTTATAAGGAAATAGGACGAAATAATTCGCACAGGGCGTGGAACTATAGTACTTCTTATGCGAGATTGTAAAACAAACGCCCGTGTACATGGATATGTGCACCTAGAAGATTGGATTTCAGTTGGCACTTTTCGTGCGGCCTACCGACGTCTCAATTTTCATGTACCCGTACTTTTTACTTCTAGCAATTTTACGTCTTTCGCTTTTATTCTGCCGTACAAAGTTTATTTAAGCAGCTAAGAATAGGCATGTGTCGGGCCAAGCGATTTATACCAACGCAAATAACGAATATGATAGAAACGAATTGCATACCGAAGGTGTGGAATCGACTGGAAACTGTTGTCAAACACGGTGGTCTTATCATCGATGCATCTAATACGTCCTCGTTGCTTCTTCGTTATGCTTAATTGCGGAAATATGCCTTCCCGGAATAGGATCAATTAACCTTACGCGTGTCTTCGAGAATTATTCGTTTTTGAAGCCACGAGAGCATGACGCGGTGGCAGGAAAAAATACACGTATGGAAAAAAGTGCATGCAAAATCTCAAACCTGATAGCACTGCGAGACATTTCGCGATCGATCGACTGCGAAGGGGGTGTGTCGAACAGCCTTCCTCCCATTCACCCTGGTTTTACGCGCTCTCTTGAGAATTACGTAAGCCGAGACGAGCCAAAAAGATGGTACATCGACTTGGAACTTATGTTATTTCGTAACCACCATTTTTTCCCGCTATGCTTGTTTGTTCAATCTACTAAATATAAAAATTGTTTGGAATCTTGTGAAAACAGCGAAAGAATCGGGAAATATACACTGTGGAATTTACGAAAATCGGTATAAGCTAATTTTAGTGCACCTAGACACTCGGAAATTTGTTTTCCTATCGTGTAAAACTTCGGGATTTAAGAAATTTGAAATTCCTAGTTTGTCCTAGATCGTAGTGCCATTTTTACGATGTAATTCTTCTTCCGATATCTCGAAGATGTATGATAGAATACGGTCGTCGATTCCTACACCTTTCTGCAAGCACACGCGTGTCCACTGGTGATTTAAAGGGTGCAAAAGAATGGTGCAAAGAGAAAGAAGAAAAAATAGCAGCAAGTATGAGATTGCACCGTTAATCGTGTCGCATTTGAAGAAAGTTAAAGCATATAGAATTCGATATCGGAGAATAAATATGGAGAAGCATTGTTTTCAATCTCCATGGATAAATTCGCTCAGCTTTACTCCAGAATTTCCTTATCGTTTCCATTTTTAACGTAGCCCGATAATTTTTCGAAGAAAGCACATTGCAAATGCAATATTTTTATCGTGTATTTTATTATTGTCGATAGCATGTGGCACCGAGAAAAGTACGTGGCTCTGTCTGTACTGCGGAGCCATTCACTGTGGACGATACGTGGCAGGCCATGCATTACAGCATCACGAAGAAAATACTCAACACTGTGTTTGTCTCGACTGTGAGAACCTGGCAGTATTCTGGTAAGTTAAACCCTTCGCTTTCGCCATTCTCTGCGACACAGATCGTCGGTCCTAGTCTTCCTCGCGTCAGTTGATACCATTTTTAATCTTACCAGCACGCCTCTCCCTCGTTTTGTTCGTTAGCCAGCCTTTCCTCTCGGTTTAATCTCAGAAAGACTATTGTGGAATACCATCGAATACCATCGAGATTATTCGATGTTGAAGGGTAAAAATTTCCCATTTCCTGTTTTCGTTGCTCTACGTGTTATTGGTAATTTGAAGTTTCGTGTATCATCGAGAATGACGGCTATATTTAGCCGCAATGTGTTACAGTGATAAGTCGTAGACAGTAGCCATTTATCGAACATTCGATAGGAAAAAGAAAGTATAACACCCACGAGCCCACTAACCGAACGCTTCAATTACTTAACTATGCCATCTCGTTCTAAACGTTAGCACTTACAAAGACATGCACTTTCAGTTACATGTGTGACGAGTATGTTATTAACGACACGACGAGCGGCCAAATCGAGAAGATACGTCGCGTCACCTTTCGCAAGGACGAGCACAAAGAGAACGAAGAGAACTGGAACACGTCGCCGTCTACGACGCCGTCCTCGAGGAGAGAGAACAGCGACGATAATGACGCGGACGCCTTATGGAAGGCGGAAGTGGTCGTGAGGAACCTACGACCGAGGACAGCACGGAAGAGGCTACACTCGTTGGACGGTACGAGCGGGGACAATCGGCCGGCGACCAAGCGTAGGAGCTCGAAGATAACCAAAGAGAAGAAGGTCGTCGGCCTGAGGAATCTCGGCAACACCTGTTTCATGAACGTCGTGTTGCAGTCATTCAACAATATCAGCCATTTTTGCGAGTATCTCACGCAGATGCCGTGTCTCGAGGGCATTCCGTTCGATGAACCACCCACGCACAGAGGGCGAATCGTCACGCCCGGTCGAGCAAAAGAGTTCATGAGCGACGCTTTGCTCGCGGAGGAGCTGAGGAAGGTTCTGCTTGGTCTGAACCTAGGTGGTTCGAATGGCCAAGCCATTTCTCCCGAATGTCTTTTCCTTGTCATTTGGAAAGTGGTACCGAGATTTCGAGGCTATCAACAACAAGATGCTCACGAGTTTCTCACCTATATGTTGGATAGACTGCACACGGAACTTTTGCAACTGTTACCCAGACTGGGACACGAACCCCTTGGTCTGCGTGGCAAGCAGAGTATCGTTACAGCTGTCTTTGGAGGCACTCTTCTTAGCGTGGTAAGTCGCCGGATTGTTCTTGGAGGAAGCTCTGTTTAACCCTCGAAATCGAGCTTCGTTATGTCTGGCTGATACTATGTCATTTTGATCTGCGGTATGGAAAGTTTTGCTCCATTTTTCCACCGAAGCTTAGAGGATTCTCGTTTGCTCCATTAATACGTTTCTAGGTTTAGTAATGTATCTTTTCCTACCTTGAGTTATTTCAAGAGTACTGTTTGTCAGTCGAGTAGAAACCGTTCTCGAATTTATTTTCAACCAGGTCAGCCTTTCTGGAATACTTATTCGTATCGTTTTTTTAGACAATTTATTTGCCTTTTTTAAGGAAAGAACGGACGAGTTATGTTTCATTGCTTCGAAGCTTTGCCAGTTGGTTTAGACGTAATATTAGTAGCCCGAGTACTTAGGTATTCTACTGGTGACTTCTTTTCATGCGTGACAGTACGTAGATCAAAATGATCTGGCGCTCACCAGGCGAGGGTTAATGCGTTTCCGGTTACACTTTGTTATTCCAATGCGGAATGACTGGAGGGAGTGCCCTTTCCGAATCAGCATTTTTTTTTGGAGAGTCATTTTATTATTCATTTTCTTCTTGGGAGAAGCGCGGACAAATTATGGATCGCGTTTCCTCGCGCAGGTCCACTGCATGAACTGCCGTACAGATTCCAAGACGCACGAGCCCTTTCAGGATCTTTCACTGGATATACCGGATAGACTGCAGAGACGAACGAAAGAACAGGAAGAAGTCTGCAGTCTCACGTACAGTTTAACGAGATTCTTCAAAGTCGAAGAACTGGCTGATAGCGAACTATACTTTTGTGACAATTGCATGGGGAAACAGAGATCCACCAAGAGGTTCTGGATACACAGGCTGCCTAATGTTAGCATACATTTATTAACTATACTACTCGCTGTTAGAATTGTCGTTAAACGCAATATATATCTCTTTTATTATTCTCTTTTATTCAAAAGATATTGCGTACAAATTACTAGATGTACAAACGAGTATTCTTTGACGATCATTACTTTTATGTAACGACGCGATGATGTCTAACACTCTCTGTAACGTTGGAAAGTGATCTCTATGATCTTTCAAAGTATAATTCTTACTTCATATACTTGTATTTGTATTTAAATTTACAAATTTCTCCGAATGCCCCAAGATTTGTCGCAGAAATTATCGCAGAGTTATCTCATAAAAGTTGTATCTCTTTTAAATATTTTCCGTGTGTTGTACAATGTAACTTGAAGTTAACGATTACGTTTTATTTTAGGTGTTGTGCCTTCACATTAAAAGATTTAGGTGGTGCAATTCCTATCGCTCGAAGGTGGACACACAGGTGGATTTCCCGATGAAATCACTTGATATGTCTGCATTTACGGTGCGTGGCATGAGTGGAACAAAATTGGGCGCTTCGAATAGCCATCTGTATGACTTAGCCGCCGTTATTGTGCATCACGGTTCAGGGTATGCTTTAACGTCTTTTTTTTTTATATGAACTCTGTTATATATAAAGTAGGATGAAATTCACGCCCGTTTTCTTTCCATAAGTCCGAGTATTTTATATTTTACGAAAATCTTGCAAGATTCGATCAGATTTGCATTAAACTGTGAATACTCGTGCACGAAATGCTTCGAGGCTTCTTAGGACGAAGTAACTTATCGAAAGAAATACGGAACACGTACTATAACGTTTTTGTGATGTAATTAAACACGCAGAATCAACTCTGTCAGCCAAACATAGTGCTAAAAGGTATATTTGTTTATGAGAAGTAAAGATTGACGAGTCTTATCAAAGTGTAAAGTTGCTATTTACAATTTATAAGCTGCCCGTGTCTTTGATATTGTGAGACCCATGGTCTGCTGTATGTATAACGATACTATGATATTTACTTTGACAATAAATATTGGAATATCCATTTTAGTGCTGGAACTGGACATTACACTGCCTTCGCTGTTCACGACGGACAATGGTTCCACTTTAACGATAGCTCTGTACGACCAGCAACTACGGACGCGGTCGCCAAGTGTAAACCTTATATTCTGTTTTACGTACGGAAAGAGTTCTCCATTCCACCTCCCTTGTGACGTCGTTTCCCCAGTCAGTCCCGTCCTGATGGTGCGAGCTTCGACGATGATGATGATGAGCGAACGAACAAGAAGTAAGCGAATTCGAACACACGAAGTTGAACGGTGCAAATGGTAAACGGCCAAATGGAAGAAGAAGAAGACTCACATGGTTTCTTTTTAAATGTTTTTAAAAAAGGAAGGAAGACAGACTCGCTCCTTTTGTTACTCCAACGTACTTTCGTTTAGCATGATTAATGTCGCGTATGAAAACCTATGTTCCGTTACCGGCAAGCGATCGATATATTTCTCGCAAATCGAATAGAACCGCTTTCTCGACATCGTATAGCAATTTGATAGATATCACGACGAATTTAGCACGATGTACGAGTACGATATTCGATGGCAATCCTCGTAGTCGTTCCAAGCGAAAGAAACATTGATCGTTCGCAAATGAGCGACCATCGATGCATTTTTATTTGACACGTTCCTTTTTCGTTGCTTTCGATCCTATCGCGGAACAATCCTCTTGTATTCTTTTTCCACGTTATCGATTGTACGGTAAATTAATCGAGTATTCGGATATGGCCCCTCTATGGCGGACAAAAATACCATTACCAACGTATGCGGTGCATACCGATTGCGTGCACACGCGTGAACATGTAGGGATGTACCGGGTGAACCGAGAGCTTCCTTTCCTTTTTTAGAAACGCCAGAAAGAAGAGAAAAAACGATGAAAGAAAGAGCGTACTCTCGAGGCAGATCGCGGAAACGCGTTGCCTTTAACGTTGATTTTCTTTATGCTCCTTTTCGCTGGTCTCTCTCTCGGTGGTCGTTGACCACCTCCCTTCATCGAATCGATTAAAGCTCCCGGCCGTATAGCGGAATAACGCGTAACGCGTACCTCGTATGTATAGTTTTAACTAAAGCGAAAACGACTGGTCTTCTCGGTAGATAGATTTTTTTCTAGACTTAGAGCGACATCATCGTTATTTCGAGGGAGCTGGTAAACGAAAATACCATATAGAGCCAACCACTCTGTTACTTCGGAAAACATGTTACCTTTGTCCTTGAATACTTAACACAGACACGAGACGCAATCCCACACACACATCACCGTACACTATTATCATTCGAACGTACACGTACTACGTATACACACGTGATTCCGCATATACAGATCGTTGACATGTGTATGTTGACAAAATACACGTATGCATGCATGTACGTACGTATACAAACACGTTCTCTCTTTTTCCCTGCCCTCCTTTTTCCCACGATTCTCGACGGCTCGACGACTCTTATGTGATTATTTAAAGACTTATTTTTTCTATAATGGTAACGATAATAACGATAATAAGTTAAAGAAAGCGTAGCGAAAGAACGTTTTATTAAGGCGATAAACTCGATAAACGCGCATCTTCTGCAAAGACTCACTCGTATGCAAAAAGCGAAAGCGAAATGAAAAAAGAAAGAAAAAAGAAAAAAAAAAAGATGGAAGTAAGCGTGCAACACTATTATTGAGGATAAATGAGATATGTATGAACGACGTATAAATAAAGAACATGAACGACGACATCATACTCCTATTTATCACGACTCGTGTTATTGATTTTCGATGTGCATTTTCTTGGCGGAGTATTCATAATTTTACATTTAAAAAACGAGAAAGAAGGAAAAAAAAGACAAGCAGGCTAGCACATTTTTAACGACATAATAACGATGTATCCGATATGAGTCAAGAATGGTCTAATTGTTTAAACAAGCTCGTTGGAATAATCACCGAATCCGTAATTTTACGAATATACACGTACAAAAAAGCTACACTCTACAGTAAGGAAAGGTAAAACACAAGAATCCGAGATTAATTTGCAACCTTTTGTTAATCGTTTATGTACATAATTATAAAAATGGAACAAATATTCATTGTATCGATAGAGCACGAAATACAAATGAGTGTCAACCCTTCTTTTTCTGCAACGAGATACGAGGTCTCTTCTTTATCGACGATGAATTATTTATTCGTGAGCGATATTTGAAAATCGACGTAAACGAGATCGGTACGATCATTCGATAGAATCTTAAACAAAAGCATCCACTCTGCATGTTTTTCCTATTCTTTCTCACACGTTCGGAGCCTCTGTTCCTAATGGATTCCTTGCACACCGTTTCGTCTGATCGTTTCGGCGTTACGACCAAAGAAGTGCCACGAAATTTAACACGATTCTTCTGCTTTTCCGCGGGAACGTGCCTCCTCTTCTCATCCTTCTGGAGAAACGGCCTGGCAGAAGTTTCCGGTGCTTCTCGCGTGCTTTTAACGAAGAATACCGAATAGGGATCCTTCGATTTAGACTCGTCCATTTCCTTCGACGTTTCTACATCCTTCGTCCCCTCGTCGCGATCGGAATCCAAGTCTTTGAACGCCTGAACCCACATATCATCGCGATCGTAACGTCTACAAGGGTTTTCCATGTTCGTCGACCACGTGTTTTTCCAACTTTCCCCGTTGCGTGCATCTTTCGAGCATATTATCGAGGACTTTTCATCCGGAGAGTCCGAATTCAGGGCGGCTTTACTCGTCTTCTCCTCGAAACTCCTGTATACTTTGAACTCTCGTAGCAAAGACGATTCCGAGCAACTCTCCATCGAACTCTCGCATTCTTCCCGATAATCCCTGTTTTCATAAATGACGTTAGTCGCTTTCGCGCTCGACTCGGTCCTATCGTCGTGCTTCTTCGGCTTCTTCCACCTAGCTGAAAATTTCTGCACCAATCCCTTCATCCCCGACGACTTAACGTAACGATCCTCCAGCTCGGTCCGCGCCACGTAACTAATGATCTCCGCGGGTGAATCCTCGAACCCAGAACCGGCCAATCTAGTTATGCTCGGATGCATGTCTAGTCTGTAGCTCCTGTCTTCCTCGTCTTCGTCGAAGTTGCCCAGTCGGCCGGGGACCTTGAACTTCATCGAGGCGATACTTGTTTTTTCCGAAATCGTGAAAGGAAATCTGTCCTGGCTCTTCTTCTTGACTCGCGGCGAGTCTCTCGATTTGTCGCGTCGCAGCTTTGACGCGGAGGAAGAACAAGCGAGAGAAAACTGTGGAATTTCATAGAATTTCTCCGCGAAGAACGTAGCTGTGTCTGACTGAATGGTTTTAGCCTGTTCCAGGCTGATATTCCTGCGAAACTGATCAGCTGCCAGTTTTTCCAGAGAAAATCGAAGCTTGTCGCGATTCTCCATCGCTCTTTTGCCTCTCACCGATTCATCGTCCTCTGGTGACGATGCGCGCTGCAACTGTAGCTTATGCGAATCCTCCATCGATATGTCTTGGTAACCACCGTCGCCTATTTGATTCTCCAACAAATTCTTCCTCTCTTCCGTCGTTTCTTCCAAAATTTCTCCCTCGTAGCTGTTATTCTCGCGTTTGCTTCGATAACCCCCTACCGAAGTTCGCGAGGTTCTCGAAATTCTTGAACGGAAACTGTCGAGTTTCTCGCGTTGCTCGTGTTCCCCGGATCTCGCTACAGCTTCTCTCATATCGCAACAACGCGAACAATTCTCCGATTCGCTCTCCGAGGACGAACTCTGGTTCAGGCTATTCTGCTCCTTGCTTCTTTCAGACTTTTTCCAGTTCGAGGAACGATTCGAGGATCTAGATGTCGAAGAAGATGTGTCGGTGCCTTCCGTGAGACGATTAGCGCAAGATGCATCCCCGTTCTTTATCTCTGCCTCTTCTTTACCTCCATCGTAGTCTATTTCCATTTGAAAAGACAAAGAAGTCCTCGACTGAACGTCTTTCATTAGCAGATCCGACATGTTCACATTTTCTGACTCAACGTCGATAGACTTCCTGTCACAGTATCTCTCGTGTTCCTTCGAATTCGTGTCTGCTATGGCAAATCCAAGCATAACTTCAGCGTGCACTCCGACATCGGTTGTCGTGTGATTTTTCATAAACTGTGCACTTCCGTCCGATTTGGGAACGTTGCTGCTTCTGTCAGATCCAAATCGGTGAGTTTCTGCAGTCGGACTTATCGCACGACTAATTACTCGTGTCTCAGTTTCGTTCAACTTCGAGACCGACGGTCTACTTCTGTCGCTACGAATCTTCACAGGTATCCTGGACCTCGTGCTGAGGGACGACCTGCAACACGTTCTGGGTGTTGCAGCTTTACTTTGATTCTCGTCAGACTTAATCGATCTCGATCCTAAACGCGTGTCCATCGTTAAATCGTTCTCGGATGACCCCGGCCTGGAAAAGGTCTTGCTGTCGATGCAGGACTCGCTACAGGTATTCTCGGAGTTTTCCTTCGTTGCCTGTTGCTTCAAAGCGGCGTTCGACAGTGCCATGATCAAAGTGTCCGCGTCTAAGCGCTTCTCCGAGCAAGGTTTGCTGGCTGGTGACGAAGAGTAGGATACCTCGCGCGAATTTAGAACCAAAGTGGGAACGTGCACGAATTCCTTGTCGCTGATAATATTTTTCGAGTGCTGATCGCGTGCTTCTTCGTCGTTCCTGCTAGACTCCGACGAATACAGATTCTCTTCGACCGATTTCGTGGAATCACCGATAAAGGATTCCCTGAAAGTCGAAGCTGCACTCCGATTTTCGCTGGGACATGTCTGAAATTGCAACGCCGACGTGAAGCTTCGCAACTGAGTAATTTTCATATCGTTGTTGCCATCGTAGTTTAAGATACATTTAGATATCGCTTCCTTTAGGGCGTTTGTATTTGCTGTATTCGAGAGACACGGATCCGAGTTGTTACTTGGAGAACATTCAAACGTTGGACTTTCTGGAATAGTTTCTGGTAAGCGAATGCCTGTCGGAGTCGAAGCAAAACTCTGATTTTCGCGGACAATGGAGTTCGAGGAATAGGAATATTCGTTTGTAGGTATTTCTCGTTCCTGATGATCAAAGATATCTTCGTTATGAGCATTCCTCTTGAGATTGATTACATTACGGTGCGACACGTTTTTGGAAATTCGAGTGTCGAGAATACGTGGAGAAATCACGCTGCAAGGTGGCGTAGCGAGCAAAGACGACGAAGATTCCGAGTCCTTTCTATTACAGTCTCGAATTCCCTCTCTATCAGAGAAGAATAGCGGCTCTTCCACGAGCTGCTTTAACGTGCTTTTCGCGTTGTGAGTACAGTCGCTTCTCGAACTATCTAAAATCCTGTAAAACGATCTTTCACGCGTTATTTTTCTCGCGGAAGACAAGGACGCGGGTGTTAGAGGACTGTTTAAACTTTGGCAAAATTTCTTCTCGGTGAAATCTACTCTCGGAACAGGAGATGCGACGATATCTTCGAGATTGCTTCTCGAAGAATTGCACAGAGTATGGTTGGACGATCTTCTCGAGGACAGAGATATAGCAGGTGTATTGTTTAAATTTCGAATCGTAGAATCGTTCGCACATAAACCCGAGGGAATATTAGTTTGCTCGGCTCTGATAGTCGCGGAACGTTCCGTATTCTCATCGGGAGCAATTCTGTCAGACATAACCTCGCAATTGGATTCTGCCTCGCTACCGGAACTCAGATTCTGCAGGATCACTCCGCGGCAAGCTCTGTACCTATTATGCGATGAGCTTTTTACAGAAGCTGGAGAAGTAGGCTGTAAATCGATCCTAGCTTTCGACGAATCTTCGCAAGACGTATCGGAGTAAATGCGAAGATAGTTTCGTTGAGACCTGGACGAATCGTTAGTTGCCTCGTCTTGGTTACGATACAGACCAAAGGTGCTTGGCGATCTCGCCGATAACGACGAGTATCGTTCAGCATTGTTGCTTAATATTTCCACTCCTAATGGCAACCGTAGATCGGAACTTTCTTCCGAAACTTCCTCGATCTTACGTTCGATTAACGAGCTTCTGTTGGATCTCTGGCTGTTGCTCGTTTCGTTTCTTAAGTCAGAAGTGCCAGTTTCACTGGGTTTCGAGATGACCATCATTCTTTCTTTATCGTGGTCCGAACGAATCTTCGCTCTTCTGCGAGCTCGAGCGTCCTTTGCTTTGAAATCGCTGTGAGATTTCTTGGAGGATACCGTCTCTTGCTCTTCTCTTTCTTCCTTTTCAACGTTCTCCTCGATTCGACTGGTTGCACCGTGAAGGTAAAAGTCTCGATTTCGCGACAGGCGACGACTGATGTTGATCACGCGATTAGCAAGACGCGTTGCTTCGTTCCGAGAGGGATGATGCTGAAGACGCTTTTTCAGATCGGATGGGGAACTTCCTCCGGAACTGCTTTCGGTTCTCCCGACGATTTCCTCGTCTCCGTTAATCGAACGATCTACACCGTCAGGGTTCCACTGTTAGGGTCCATTATTTATTCGTCGGGTTAGTTATTAAAATTTATCGAGATCGCAGCGATAGATTAAGCTACTTTTAACGCGGAACATGAGAATTTGAATTTAGTCTAATTTGTTTGTTGGAAGGAAATGAATATTAAATACCTCGGAGCTTTACTGCAATATTCCATTTTCCTTCTATCGTAACATTTTTCACTCGTAGTGTTATAATATCGAGTAAGGTTATGTAACAGATGAATCAATTATATTTAAAGATGGAAATATTACTATCGAAGAATACAATTTCTAGCTAATACCTGCTAACGGGTTTGCACGGTTAGCTTATTTCGTACTTGAAACTTTTGCAGGCTATTATCACGACGAGAACAATGTCAATTGCTGTTTTAAAAATACCGCTATCACATCATCAACTTTATTCGAAGATAAAAATATCGATATTCCTTGAACTTGCGGTGGAAAGGAGAAATGTCAGAGGTTACGAGATAGAAAATGAATCGTAATTTTGTTTAAGAATACCCTGCTTTCCAAGCATACGTCATATTCATTCCTTCTTTAAAAACAGTTTAAACTAATTGCATTTAAAATTAGATATTAACATTACTATGTATCAATTTGCAGTAGAAATTGGAGGAGAGGAAAGAAGAGAACGAATATTCTTAAAGTTGTAATGCAGGTAAAATAGAAGAAAACGAGATTCCTACCTGCAGAAGAAGATAAAGCGCTGGGTGGTTTCACTTCAATGATCCCCAATGTCCTGCCGTCGTTGTTTAGCATATCGAATCCATGGGAAACGTTCTGCTTATTTTACATGAACAGATTGTTATAAGAGGTTAGCGGAACATTTAAATCGCTTTCTGCTTAATGTGATAGAAAAAAAACATAAGAATACGTTTTGCTTAACGAAACAACTAGATCGCGAACGTATCCTATTGAACGTTACATCCTGAAGAATATCAAAAGATTTAATTCGAGGAAAAGAAATTCTTTCTATTTATTAGATATTTTCACACACCAGGGGATTTTTGGAGTACGATGAAACAACGTGTTTTAATGATTCTAAGCACTTTGAGCCTTTTATTTTCAGTTTCATCGATCTAGAGTACTTTTAAGATTACCTTTACTAATACCATATGACTTTTCTAAAGTGAGTAAGTATGTAATTGCTCTGAAACCGAGCTTCAGGAAAATAATTCTTAGAAATACGATTAAACATTGGCCCTAATTTTACTTTGCATCACAGGGAAGAAAGTAAGATTATGCAACAAGCGGAGAGCTAGTGATCGATATACCTTTCATTTCAAGTAAAAGTTATTGTCAAAGACGAGATAAACCTAACATTTTACGTTACTTCGTGTTCCGAGTTCTGAAATACCGATCGAATGTTTTCTATTTCTATTTAATATGTGTAACACAGGATGATGAAATATATTCAGTTCTTATATTCGTAGACAATTTATTTATTTATGATTAACTGTTATTCATGTGAACGACTTTCTATACCACGTTTACGATAATTGAAATGCCATTAGAATAAATATTTGTATATATTTCGTTTATCCTGTGTTGGGAAGTATCGCATTCATCATTACCGATTGAAGATGATACTTGGATACTCTGACACGATTAATAGTTCATAGTACTGAATTAGTAGTACTAAGTTGAAAGTAAATACTAGATAGTGAACGTAATGTGTGACACAGAAAATGGTAAGAGAGTTCTAGGACTCCTAGAAACAGAGAAGAAAAAATACACACGATTAAGTCTATTCTGTTGTACTTTATGGAAAAATTTTCTATACTCCTGGAAAAAATTCCATTACGTTTACGGAAGCTATGGAAGAATTTGCTAGCTCCAAAATTCCACAATTTCTTCGAAACAGAGATAATACACCAGATATGAAACAACCTTTGATAGAAAAGAAAGAAGAGGATATAGACTCCGTTCAAAGTTATTTTAATTGATATATATATCAATTACGGGTAAATAAATAAAAGAAGAACACCAACTATTCACTCTCCCTTAACCTCAGTGAAAAACTACATCAAGATCGCAGCCAATTAGCTCATATTACTTGCTATATAATTCATATTTGTATCGCAGCTATTAGCTATATATCGTAGAACTATAGTGATACAATTAGGAATTATACGTCAAATAATACCGATTGCCCAGGTCCCACCACGAGGAGGTGCTGCGAATGGAGACCCACCCTAACCACGTCCCATCCACCCTCCTTTCGCGCAAAATTTACTAACAGTCAAAAAGATTTCCCTTTTCATGCTCGTTTGCAAAATGTTCAATATTTGATCGCTGTGCAAAATAAACAGGAAAAGGAATTTCAAGGAAAAATCGACGCGGAAAGCTAAACCTAAAAATGAAAGGTAAATTAAACCTAGAAATGAAAGATAAATTAAACATAGATGTAAAAAATAAATCCAACATAGTAGTAAATGGTAAATTAAACCCGGAAGTCCAAGGTAAATCAAACCTAGAAATAAAAGATGAATTAAACGTAGAATTAGAAGTCAAATTCAACCTAGAAGTAAAAGATAAATTAAACCTGGAAATAAAAGACAAATTAAACCTGGAAATAGGAGACAAATTAAACATAGAAGAAATAAATGAATTATGTGAGATGATATTATCCTACAATTTGTCAATATTGCACAGTCTCATTTCCATAATAAATATACCAATCGATAACTAGAAACATAAAAGAAAGCAGGTGATGTTTCCTTCAAACTGCAGCACTTCATATGCATATTGACCTGAAAATATAGAATAGTTGACAATTAAGTAATTAAAAAAATAAAGAGAAATGCAATATCTCCCAAAGCGTTCTACTTACTTAATACTACCCAAAACTACTTAATATTACCCGCTTCATGCAACCCAATAATACTTAATCCTACTTAATATTACCTACGACTATAAAATTTTTATCAACTTAAAGAATAATGTGCCGGCACTGATATTATAGTAACTTATAACTGACTTAATCAATTACTTAATAGTATAAAATTTTACTCAACTTAAAGACTAATGTGCCAGCACTGATCGTAACTTATAACTAACTTAATCATAATCCTAACTTGACATAAAAACACATAACCATAAATTATCATTAATTTCAGAATAGCGTACATATTTGAAAATCCAATTAACCTTCTATTCAATATTTGAAGAAAAGAACAAACCCAAACAACAACGAAAATTCAAAAATAATTAATACAAAGGAAAATAAGTGTGCTTTCCAGCCTCGAGTAATCCAAAGAACCTAAAACAAAAATAGTCAGCCCTACTTACATCAAAATAAAAGATATTTTATAATTTCAAACATAGGGAGATCAAGGATATTTTTCACACTATCCTATCAAAAATCAGATGAGCTTTTATAAAACCTCTACCTATCACAAATCTAGAGGGTTTCAACGTAACCGACCTGTCACAAATCTAGACAGTTTTCGCAAAACTTTCCCATTACAAATGTAGAGAAAATTTCAAACATCCCATATACACAAGAAGCCAGAGATTTGATCAAAAAAATCTGAATATTAAAGAGACACTGTGTGGGGGTTGAAACCACTCACACTGTTTCCGTTGGTACCATAACGTTTCCTAAACACCACACACTGTAGAAAAAGAGAAAAAATTATTATAAATAACAATCTATATGATTATAAATAAAAATTGCAGTAATTATAATAAATAAATAAATGAGGCTCATACATCACTTTCCATTACGTCATTTTCTTCCATTATTATTCCACTTCTGAGCCTCTGACATACTCACATAAGTTCATATATTTGAAATGATGTTGAACACGGTGACATGAAAGCGTTGTAAATTAATAAATCTGAAACAAACTCAATTACTGGATTAACAGTTTGAGAAACAGAACAAAGCCCTGGCTGCTGAAAGAAGACATGCAACATATTCACAAGAATCTCAATCACAATCAAAAATATTTGGTCAAAAACTTGCAGTTGAAATAATCAGACTTTCACACCTTCACAATCAACTTATTTGCATTTATTTTTATTAACAAAAATCAATAATTTACTACCACGAAAAAAGAAAAATGTAAATTTATTAGATCCACGAAGAGTCGGAATTACACATATAAAACGATTATTTTCCAAGATTTCTCTTGCAAAATAAACGGATACCGGGAATGAATATTTTTTAATGCAAGATAAAATTCGAAGGTTAATAATATTAAGCATTAATTGCAAAGAAGTTAATATGAAAGATTGAGAAAATCGTTAAAAAATAATTGAAATAGTTAGGACAGTTAAGAAGAGATAAAAAGAAGATGAATAGAAGGAAAAATGTGTGGAAAACAGACATATACATATCACAGCAGTATTTTCATTAACAAATATTTCAGTGAAAAAGGGTGCTGAAAAAGAAAATACAATGGTGGCCAAAAGAGCCACCAAACACTTCCACTCTATATGAACCCGGGAAAAAACCGCGAGTGGAATAAATAAATTGTAATTTCGCAACACTAACTTACTAAATTGTCCGATAACGGACAATTTTCAAAATTAACCGCGAAGAGTGCTTTCTGATATTTAAAATAACAAATAATTTAGCATTTACAAAAAAATAAAATTAAAGAAAAAAAGAAACAAAAAAAGGCAGAGAACTCGCGAAAATAATAATAATAATAATATAATTCAATTATTTACGCAACACTAATAAATTAATAAACTAATTTATGCACTCGCATCAAAAAAATTCGCAACACTAATGTCGAAAAATCCAGGGCAGCCATGGTTCAGGCTGCAGATGTATGACCACCCATATACAGCTCTTGCAGCTGCAACAGGTGATTCTCAGGAACCGAAGACAGGTCCACAATACCAGTGGAACTTTGGGCATTGTATATTCGCAACACTACTTCAAAAAACGCGATCATTCTTCAACGCAACACTAATATTAAAAACAAAAGAAAAACCGCGATACAAGTAAAGCGCAACACTAATTCTTAAAATGAAATCAGTAAAATATCAAATCTGAATATACAAAAAAAGTACTATGAATACTCGCGATTAATAAAAGCCGCAACACTATAAAGTTAAGCAATATCAAAATATATGAAAAAATAAAATTTCATGCAAAAAATGACAAAGGTAATCGCGATTTCATAATTCGCAACACTAAACCAATCCGTGCTTAAGTACTCGCAACACTAAGTATAAAAATCGCGATTTGCCCAAGACAGGATGATGGACCGATGACAAAATCGGTCAGTAAGCAAGCTGCTACTATTACTACTACTACATAATACTAAATACGAGCATAGTGACAAAGTAGTGACAAGAATGACTTCTAATCCAAAGGATAAGAAGCCATTCCTAGGTACCCTCTTCATGACAGTTTGTCGGGTACCTAATAGCCTCTTCTTCTTTCTTCGGGCGCCATGCCCGCTGAAACTTATATCTAGGCTCGAGATTCTCTAATTGGAAAAAAAAAAGAAAAAAAATACAAACCGCGAAGCTAATCAAGACTCACATGGACGAGCAACGATCGGAGTGATCGTTGTTCGTGCACACGTGCAGAAACTCGAGCACATACACGTTCGATCACGACCACGACCGCGACGAAAATTTGAAAAAATCGATAGGCAAAGCTAGTGACGAATGGCAACACCCAAACGTGCCAGCTTCACCGTCGACTATTCAAATTATATTTCCTGAAACAGGTTGTGCACGCGAAACGCGCCTACCCGACCTGAGACTGTGCCAACCTGCCCGGCCCTACCTACTTATAATTACCAGGCACACCAGAGTATACTACCTACCTAACTCCTCCTATATTTAAAAAATGGCAAAAATCAAGCATTCCAACACACCACACTCCACGGTTCTCACAAATACCACCCGGGCGCAAAGATCCTACACTACAGTAAGCGTCCCGGGACGCCCCCGACACCCGAGTTTGGCAACATTCACACTTTAACTTTACGTACCATTTCCTGAAATCGGCTGACGACGGCTAGAGACCCTTGCGTAACGCGTGACATTAATCATTCGGGAAATACGAATATGTTAAAGAGCATAATGTCGTTAAGACACGTAGTACGAGAAATAATAGCATTACGGTAAACTGATAGCAAGATTGTAAAATTCCATCGCGTTTATGCTATAAATAATCTGCTATAACTGATAACAGATTACGTTTTTCTATTCCTAATAAATGTACAAACGACGCAATTCCACATCCTAACCACAGACACACAATGTGGAAAATACGTCGTGCACGATACTCTAACGCGTCGTCAGCCGCTAAGACATTGTTATAAGCTTATAAACTACGGTCATCATGCCCATCGCCTTTCACTCACTCAAGTAGCACCTGAGCACGTGAATGAGTTCCTGACAATGAACACGGAAGGGGTTAAACCTGAAAATCCTGAGCTA